GCAGCATCATGCTGACCCTGATTACCAGGTACCTGACGATTCGGATGTTGGTGATGATGAGGATGGTGGGGATAATGAAGAGGAGGAACATGATGATTACGCCCCTGGGTGCCTACACGAATGTGTATCCTCTTCCTTGCCCGACGTCTGTGGTCATTTGGGCTCAGGCGCTCGGCCGTTTCTGAATGACGGTTGGGCAATGCAGCTGGCCCTTGGGCCTGCGCCTTCGACACCGCGCTGCGGCGCAGCGAGGGCATTCTCCTCCCTGGCGCCCGTCATGCCAGCGCGCAGGAGGAAGGCAGAGGCGACCGAGGCAGAGGACCGCAGAGGAAGGCCAGAGAGTGTGGCAGCGCTCCATACGACCTTCCCGGACGGGGGCCAGGCTGCCAGGCTAGCAGGGATCCCCTGTCGCTGAGCTCAGGGTCGGGCGAGGAGGACTAGCAAGAGGTCCGAGGAGGGCACGTGACCGCAGAGATCACGGCCAAAATGAAGCTGACGCCTTTGATCAAAGAAGCCGACGGCACGCGCAAGTTCGTGGGCAGCCACTTTGTCGCGACTAACCTGGTCGACTGTCACAAGTATGAGGAGGAGTGCGGCTTCGTATCGTTCTTCGTCCTCGTCTACGAGGATGGTCGACCCGAGGCCCAGCAGGTCGATGTCGATGCCCCTGCGACAGACATGCGCCCCAGCAAGGGGAGGAACCAGGAGGCTCGGGGCCGGACTGCGCGTGATCTCCCGACCGCGCGACAGCAATGGGCTCGCGGAGCAGCTCGCAGACTCCGACGACCTGGGGGTGGCCGAATCGAGGAAGGTCGAGCTCGCGAGGCGTCGGGACACGCGCCCGCCGTGTTGTGATGTCGCCCTGTCTCGGCGCCTGTTGGCCCCCCGGTGCAGAGAGCGAGGCGCCGGGCGGTCTCCGGTGAACGGGGTCGCCCGCCGCCCTGGCTACGCCGCTCGCGCCGTGGGCCTCTCGGAGCGTGGTGAGCGGCGTGGTCTTCGGGGCGGTCGAACGTGGCGCTGCCTCGGGGGGGGAAGGCGGCGGACTCGGAGCGCCCGGTCCCCGCGGCAATGGTCCTCGCCTGGGGGGCCGCCCTTGGGGCCGGGCGGCTGGGGGGCGCCGCTGGGGGCAGCGAGCGAAGAGGTCGTCGGCGTGCGCGGGCGGCGGTGCAGGAAGGGCCCCCCCCTCGGGGAAGGCAGACGACCCGAGCGGGGCCTGGGCAGCGCGGGGGCCCCGTCGGCGCGTTCCGTTCCCTTGCGCGCGGCCGCCCCTGAGGCTCGGGGATTTCCGCCCGAAAGCGAACTTCAAGATGACGGGGCTGGCGGACAACCTGGGGGGGGCGTTGTGGCAGTGCCCACAGGTCGGGGCCGAACGAGCGGGCGCGGGCGGTCCTTCTCACCGAGCGCATGCAGGGCCGGTCCTAGTCAAGGCGGCGCCGGGCCTCGAATGGCTACCGCGCGAGGGGGGCCGAGACGCGGGCGATCCTGGCAACGTGAAAGAGACGGACTTCGACGAGTGCCTCGGGGTCCGCGTGGTGGCCGCGGGCCTGAGGGGGCGCGTGCTCGAGGTGGCGATGCTGGCCGCCAAGGGGCACTGCGAGTCGGCCGCCGAAGACAGGGCGGCCGCCCCGGCCCCGCCCAACGCGCCGCTGACGAGGTCGCGCGGGCGGGCGGGGCAGCCGTTGAAGCGTCCTGGCAGGGGAGGGCGCCAGCGAGGAGACTGGGGCCGTCGATCGACTTGAAAGGCGGCGCCCGCGCGCCCTGGCGCGGTCGCGTGGGTGGTTCAAACCTCCCCGCGCCTTGGGCGCCCCCCCGTCCCGACCCCGCGCCCCCCTGGGAACCCTGCGGCCGCGTCGGTGGGCAAGGGCTTCCTTGGTGGGGGTGGAGGTCGGGCCTGGGGGGGGCCAGTACAGGGTGGGTGGGGCGGGGGGCGGTCCCGCTCGATGGGTGCCTTCGAGTTCTGGCTTGTAGAGCACGCGGGCGTGCCGCCCGGCATCTTGTGCCGCGGCGGGGTGCCCCATGCGCGGTTGTTGTCTTCGTGCGGCGTCTGGCTCTGCGATGCAGGCCTTCCCCGCCGCGCATTGGTAAATGCCGTTCTAGGCGTCCAGAGTGCCCGCCCACGCTGGAAGGCATTTCGCTCCGAAGCGTGGGGCGTGGCCAAGCAGTGGAACTTGGCTGGTCCTCCGAACCCCCGCCCCCCCCTGCCTCGGTCGCTCTCGCGCGCGATGGTGGGCCTTTGTTTTGCTTGGGATTGGCCCTTGATGGCCGCTTTGCTGCTCCTGGGTGTCGCGATGTTTCTGCGGCCCGGTGAGTTGATGGCTGCTCGACGTCGTGACCTGTCGCCGCCCGGCGACGGCCTCGAGTCGTCTGGCGACGCCTTGCTCGATCCTAGCGCCCGAGAGTCGGCGGTCCTAATTGTCCGACCCGGCGCGCTCGTTGCTCGGATCGGAGTGCCGTCGGGGCCCCGGAGAAATAGTTCGGTAATTTGGGCCTCGCCGATCCG